ACTAAAACATTTACTTTTTCTTTAATATTCATTCTTTTTACTAATTTGCCCAATAGCCCTCTGGACTCGGTTGTTTTCTTCCCAGGTGCTCAGTTTGCACTGTTATCTACTGCTAATATCTCCATTCACGCAAGCCAATTAATAGCTCGCGAGTTCACTCTAGCTCGTATGCGCCACCTTGAGACTGCTGCACCTGCCGGAAAGAATGCTGGAGAGAACTCTGTCACAACTCGGACCGACAAGAGCGTTTTGCCTGTGCCCTCAGAGGTTTTGACATCTGAGGATATCTTAAGAGCCCCAGCGAGCATTAAGGTTGGTTCGAGAAGACTACAACTTTTTGTACGTAGATACGAAGACCAAGGTGTTGTCCCAGTCTCTTTTCGATGCATAGTGGTTGTGTGAACTCGGTCATATTGGCAGAAAGTTCTAGAGGAACGCATCTTTTTCAAAGTTCATAGTACGCATGATAATTTCCAGAGTCGGACCGTGGACTTAATGCATTCTCAGATGTTTCGCCTGAATCGTCAGTGAGTCTTGCCATCCTCAGCACCAAATACAACTCATCAAAGAGACAAGTGAAGTCAACCTCTTGACTAATTTTCTGCCGAATCGGTTGTGTTATCACTACTTTCTCTGTCCTGGTAACACTATTTTCTCCTAACCCTCTTGTATCGCCCTCGTCCTATCACAACTTCTGACTTGTTCAAATTCCACTTCTTAAGAATTGTGCCCTTTTGGTGAGTATATCGTAACGCCATAACATTTGCTGTTTGCCTTGCCCTTTCGAGTAGCTGATCCGACTCAGCCTCCTGTACAGCTCCGTAGATCCGTTTCTTATCTTTTTGGTTGATTGATTTCATTTGGTTTCAGCCGCAATGATATTTTTAATCCAGGTGCTATTTTTCAACTTTAGCAGCACGCACAATGTAGCTGCACCTACAGGTCGCCTAAGCTCTGATTCCCATGATTGCAGATATTAAGTATTACCAAAGTTGAACCGTGGATGTGGTACATTCCCAAACGTTTCGCCGGCATCGTAGTCGGCATCGTCAGTGA